ACCAGTGCAGATGTTCACTCCGGCAACTAAATAAGTATTTTTCGCCTTAAATGCAGAACAAGTTATTCACTGAGTAACCGAGTTTATTGTCTTGTATGGTGGTGATAATTTTTATTGTTTATTTGTAAGCGTTTAAATTTCCTTATTGCTCATATTAAGGAAAGAGTTCTGAAGAAAAATACTTATCGGAGTCATGGAGTAAAAATAAGCGCCAGAATCCAGGTAAACCCAGCTGAATAGTCCCAAGTGGCACAACGCTCGATTCATGGCTTCCAATGCTAGCCACTAATTATCTTTGCTTAAAATGGTTGTCACTTGATGGTAATATCAAGACAGTACGCACAGGATACATGTGTGCCAAAAGAGACTGATCAATTTCAGTCCTAAATATCAACGGGAAGATTCAGACAGCCAATATATATATATATATATATATATATATATATATATATATATATATATATATATATAATGAAATAGGTTTCTAAAGTTATTTCATAAATTTTATCTTGTAACTCTATTTTACATTTACGTCATGTAAAGAACAATTACATCTCTATAGCGGAATTACATTTTAGTTATTAAGTTTACATTTCTGTAGTATTCTAACTTATTTTACTACATTACAGACATTTCCTAATTAATATGGTCTATTCCTCGGGAAGCAGTAGATCATAGAGACATGATGAGAGGTTCAAAATGGTAATTCATTCATTCCATTCATCACTGTACACATCTGGAAAATATAAGCTGGGTCCATTTTTCTGTATGTTTTCTGTTTTGCAAATATAATATCATTATACTACTCCGCATACATTAATAGTGTGGCCCAAGGCCCAATACTGAAACATTTAATTTTTTTCTTGAGTTGTATTAATGTTTGATAGTTATAATCATGTTACTTTATCAAAATGATAACAGTATTTTGCTATATTATTCGAAATTACATTCGGAAACACATACCAATTGTAAATACGCAAATCATAGGTGGTAATATAACGAACCTGGAACTTTTCTTAGAATTATTCAGTAGATTAAATTAAATTTTCTCATTGGAAAATCATTTTTGTGAGATCTTTATTCTGTTTTCTTAATTGTTAGTCTTGCAGTACAGTTTTGTGAGTTAAAAGGGCCCGGACTTTGTGCATTGGCTGAATCATTGATTACAAATCTTACTTTGGAGTGTATTTATATTTGGGGGAATGAACATGAAGAATCAGCGTGTAAAGTAAGTCGTTTAATTGATAAAGTACAGAGTAAAAATGCAGGAAGTGAAAGAAAAATAATTTTTCTATAAATTGTTATCACTGTTTGCAATTATAAATCCAAATTAATGCTCTGAAGGGACAAACAAGTGTAGAGCGAATACATCTTTTAAGATATTAGCATATAAATTTAGGATTGTCAATAAAATCAAGTAGAGTTGCCGATGATGAACTGTCCAGTTTGTGATTTTAAGCCGAATAAGTTGATATATCAGTTGAATATAATCAGAATAGATATAGGTGAGATAGAGTGAAAAAAACTAACTATGTAGTTACACATAAGATCAGATGTTTGATCGAAAACTAAGTAATGTATCAAACAGCAAGATGAATTTAAAGCTGCTTAAATTCTTCATGTGCTTACAAGAATTAATAATAAAGATAATTATTATTATACTTAACGAAAGATATATGAACAGTGATGAAAGCAATATTTTCAGTGATCCTCTAACTTAAATCGTTTTATAATTTCAATGAAATTAATCAATCTCCACAACTCTGTACTAGAAATTATCATACGCTCACTAGTGACTAGCTTTGAGAAGACTTTTCCGTAGTTCTAGTGAGAAGCCCTGAGCAATAGAGCTAATCCCTGTCGAATGTGAGGTGGTTACTTACTGAAGACAGTGGAAGGTGGCCTCACAATATCATGGATTAATTAAAGATAGACATTGACACCGTTGGATGCCGGCTCAGTGGTCTAGAGGTTGAGCGTTCACTCCTGAGACTGAAGGTCCTGGGTCCGAGTCCCACGTGTGTGGTCGTGTATGCACACCACCAAGAATTCCTATACTAGGACGAAACGACCGTCCACTGCTTCCTGGTTTCCAAAGGTGGTCTGACGTAGATCGGTTCATGATTTCTATCAAAATAATACTTGAATAAATTAAATTAAACTTAAGGAAATTCAAAGAGGAAGACCATATGTAAATTAGTTAAACTAGATCGTCTTGCAAACATTATGAATACTGACGTAATGAGTCTGAAGTTGAGCATTGTTAGGAAAGAGGCTGAACGCATTTTCTTCGTACTCAAAGCTCCGATCTTTTAACCAACATATCTATTGTTTTTGCTATTTGGAAGACTCTAACCCGATAAACTATTGGAAATTATTCATTTATCCTGACCTGATTAGCGGTTTGAATTGGATGAATGAGTAGTGAGGTGTTGACCGTTTTAACTACATGTTCGTTTCACCATTTTGGAAAGTATTCACAGATACATAAAGGTAAATTATACATATAAATCGTTCGAACAAGTTTAAATGTAATACAAGACGAACGTTCCTTGGTTTCGAATCCTGTTGTAGTTAATTTATTGTTCACTTCTCACTTCTCAGTGTTTAAAAGTTGTTTAGAAATTTGTTAGTATTATATCCGGTTGTTAAATGCTAGAAAGTCAATTTTTCTACTCACTAAGATATTACAAATATTTTATGGGACGAGAATGTATAAATAAAGTGATTATTTTATTAATTTTCATCACAAACTGAGTTCACCTTATGAACTAGTAAAAATCATAGAAAACTAGACAATTATTTAAATGAAGATCATAAGTTCTTATCAACATCCATCAAAAATTTTATTTCAAGAATATACCCAAAACTTCCAGATCTCACGCAAGCACAATACTTTCAAAATACTGATTCAAAATTCAATAATTTACATTTCCCTTTCTAAACTAGAGATTCGTAACTGTCCAGAAATTTCTGAGTTTCTAACTGATATCAGATTAAGATAAAAATTATCTTATTCATTGTTGCGAACATCTCTACTAACCATTTCACTAAATATTTCACTTATTGTAACTTTTATTTTATTTTAAAATAATCAACTAGTATCAATTTTTTTTTCTTTTAATCTTCATTAGGCATTCGCTAATTTAATCTGCATAAATCGTTTACTAGAAAATTGCACTGATATAAGACCTTATATTGTTGATGGTAGAACTTATTTAGCTTACTTACCTCATGATTGTACTTATAGGCAATATCGATTTTCTGTACCTTGGTGGAAATTTCAAGCACCAACTGATCGATCGATTGCACTTTCTTAATGTCATTTCATTGAAGTTATATCATTCTTAAGTTGTTGTTGTATTTCTTCACAATATTATTTTTATTATCATTTATTTTTTTTACCTAATTGTTTCTTATTATTCTTAGAATTAATTAATGAAATAATGCGCCTTTGATAATGTTGAATTTTTTGCCTTTGCAATTAAGATTATTTTTAACATTATGATTCACATTTGTATTTTATTTCAATGTAATTTTGTTTAGATATTTTCACATTGGAGACGATTTTATTTATCTTCATTTATCTTATTTGCAAATACCATTTATCTATCTGTAGCATAAACTAGATTATACTACTGATATACTTAATACATATATATAGACAAAATAACAATAGATGCATCGTTCTGTTTAAATTCTGTAGGTAGTTGAATTTAGCTAATTACATATAGTATTTTCAGCTTTATTTGAAGTACCAGTTGCAGTGATTATGCGTTAAAGGTTGGAAATATATGTAACTAATTCAGTTTTATGCTGCTGATAGTATTGCGTTATTTGAATGAATTTGTTCATTAGTATAGTTTTTGTTGTCGTTCTGAATAGACAACAAAGCTTGTACCCTAAGGAATTTATTTTGATCAAGATTTCTGATTCATTTGTAAAGAGAAAAATGCATTTAAGACCCATTGGAAACTTGTAAGAACGTAGTTGTTTTGCATACTAACTGAAAACTTTTTAAGAAAAAATACTGTAGGTTGAGATATAAAGACTATAATACTTCATAACGTAAATAACCAACATTTTTCTACTTATCAATTAGATTTAAAAGTAATGTACAGTTAATTTTCGAACAGTCAAAAAATATATACTATTTATAGCATAAATTGTATAACCTATCCTGCTTAAATATGATTACGAGTGCCTTCCTAATTGTTAGACCCATAATTTATTAAAAGTGTTTTACATGTAGTTGCACCATGGGAAAATCGTACAACATAATTGCGAAAGTATAATAATCATTCTGTACTGCCCATTCCAAGTTCATACGTTTTAGTTGTTATGATGTTTGGTGGTCAGAAGGGACTAGTGGGGAAGTATTGAATAGTAATTCAGATCTGGTTGTTACCTGTCAACAAGTATTTACCATCTGGAAGGAAATGATCCTGTAGAATTTAAAACTATCTTATCAAACTGAAATAATGGCAAATAAATGAAAGTATCCATCTATTTTTTTACTTGACAGCTAGAATAAACTTTAAACTTTTTATAAAGGGAAACATATTTCCGAAAACTCCAGTTTTATTATGCAACCATAAGTCATTAAAAATTCACCGCCAAATAATTAACAAATTGAGAACTAGCTACCATCGCACTCACTTAAATATGATATATATATATATATATATACGAGGATTGGCGAAATGTATATATCGATAACAAGCAGCAAACAATCTACGTGAAGTCCGATCCACGGCTCACAAAAACAATATGGCCTTGATAAACTGTCGTTATTTAGAATTTGTACGTTTTGAGAAATTACTTTGACAAGAGTCAGCATTCATTCAGACCGCTCAACATTGTTCAATATTGTTACAGAGGAGTATATGCCAGAATATTATGACATTTCTGTATTGCAATCAGTTTAGTTTAAAAAGAAACTATTCACAGGTTTTTCATCTGTTGGTATTAGTCAAAATGGGTTTCTTCCATCCAATTGGAGTACAGATCTATGCAACATCTGAACGAAATGATATCGAATGAAGGTTTTGATTAATTTCATCGCTAGGATCACTGATAATTTGGTGGACATTCACGTACATTATGCCCTTAACATCAAATCTATACCCGAATGGTCTACTGGCCAATACGTCCCAATTTATACGTAAACAGGCCAATCTGTTCATTTACTCATTAATCGTTACACATAAGTTAATCAGTCAAGACAATCAAAGGCTACATGATACATCTATCTATACTCCAGATGATTTGTAGTGAATCACATCAAATTAGTGAATCCATGTGACGGCAAATGAAAGTTGGAAATCATGAAATTGATTAATGATTACTCTTTAGAACTAATTTTTGGATGAAGACACACAAATAATAAAAGCCTTCATACATTTTCATATTTAAAGATACACAATCCACATAGTAACATGTCGACCACATATAATTAATCATCAAAACATAATCGTTCAACATAACTGTACACTTTAATGTCATTTATATTCTAAACGAAATGGATAAAATTTTGGCTATACACCGATGGTCATGTCAAGTGATTTTATGATATGATTAATGACCACTATGATGATTTTTCATTTTCTTAATGGATTCCATAGTCATTTCATCAAAGTCAATTAGACATAATAAACAGATTATTTTAAGTTTCATCATAAATGCCGATGACATTTCCTTCCAATAAATAATTGTATAAAACAAGTCGAATGGTAACAATATGAAAATAATGCTGATTGATTGCCCAAAATTTGTGATATGGTGACTTTTGTTTTAACCAATTAATTTTGCCGATTGCTTTCATCAGTCTAAGTGAACTCGAATTATAAATATGAAAATTTCAAATGGATGTATCATGACTAAGACAAAGTACTCTCAACAAGAGTAATTTTTATCTTAGTTTACCGAAAAACCCATAGTTGGTTGATAACATATAAAGATTATTGGCACATGATAGTTGGAAATTGGGTCTGATATAATTCGACATATAATCTTTCGTACAGAAATAACTGGCTGTGTGTTTATTTCCTCCCATAGGTTTCGTTCATTAGTTACATATATGACTGTTAAGTATGTTCATCTTTTGTAGGGTCGGTAAGTTGATTTTCAGAATCTTCAGATTACAAACAAAGAGAACTGATAATTATTGCTAAATAATCTGGGAAATAACAACAAAGGCTATAAGAGGTTACTAAAACCATTTAGAAAAATAAGTGAACAAAATTTAACTTTCGGTTAGGAAATTAGTGAGAACAAGCAAAGGAACACAGTAGATATTTTACACAAAGCAAGAACAGTTAAAGTACGATAGGCCGAATAAACAGGATTTAATGTCATGATTGTCTAGATAATTAGTGAAATTTTTCTAATGAATAAACTTATAAGAAACCTAAGCTGAAATAGGGAGTACAGAGATTTGGAAGCTAACTAGTCAATTCTGAGTTATTTTAAGCGTAAAATTGTTGTTAGCAAAATTTCAGACAGTTGTACTTGATCAAATAGCTCTGGAATTAGGTTTACTGTTAGTGCAAATAATCACAAATACGTATCAGTAACAACAAAGTAGTATTATTTCCTGAAGGCAAAAATCGCAAATACAGGTATACTGATTTCCAATTAATTTATTTCGAGTAATCTGCATGAAGATGTCACCTGGCTCGGCGGCCACATTATAAATATTACTGACGTAATAAAATCTGTGTTAAAATCTATAAAAGATTATCATTTTGTTTAATCGGCCCAACTCCACTAATAGTATAAGCACTTTCAGATTCCACATGCTTTTTTTGGTTTAATGGTGATCTTTCAGTTATGAATTCGGTAGTATCCATAACATCTGTACCTAAGCGTCACGTGAGTCAAAAAAAGTCATAAATTGTAATTTAAGGACCATTTTATAAATCGGAACTCCATAGCATCCTGGATGAACACAAGTGTTAAATTAATTTGATATAAAGAATGGTATCATTCAAGGTGTAGTATCTTATTGATAACTGTAAACTTTATTCATTAAATAGTTTCGAACCAATTTTGCTAACTTTCTGTAAACACTACTAAAATAAAATGATGTTTCAGAATCCATTACAAGGTTTCTTATCATTTATGTGCAATAAATTCCAAGAGGAAAAAACTTTTGAAGTGTTATCCTATATACTTAATTCACTTTACCTGCATTCAGTTGAGAAATATTTAAAATAAACTGCTTGGCTGACATTCCATGTAAGTTCTTGATAAGCCGAAAATCCATCTGATTTATTCGTAATTTGGTCTCCTGGTACTAGGATTGCCAATTAACAGATCGGTATAATAAAGTTTTACAAACTATAAACTTGCAATTACCGTGTAATCAAGCTTTTGTTCTTAAAGGCTTGATTTTAAAGTGGGTCTTCCACTGACACAATTCACGTAAATTAACGTTTGAAGCTAATCGTTCTAAAATGCTAGTGTCAGAATTATATTACTTATTAGTAATATAAACTACAACGAAATATTATAACATGGGATATTATGTAAGTAATTTATTCAACCGTAGGAAAAAAACTCAATCCTTTATGCTTTGGCTGACATTTTTTTCGAAGTTGTTTCGTCGGTTTCATTTCTGATTTGATAATATTGTTCACTTCATTACCATTTTAGTTAGTATGATAAATTAAGGAAAACTCTCCTACCATATTTATTATATTAGAGCCCGCTTAAGAACAATACTGTTTTCCACTTCAGTTCAGCATCATAACTAAAATGATGTATCAGTAGAACGGACACTTGTCTACAAACAACCAAGCTTATATGGATATCCTTGCCAAACGTTTAAAATCAGTCCTACAAGTCTAAACTACTTTGCTTTTCTATTATCAATATCCTAAGGTTTTTTCAATAACTGTAATAGTAATTATTACATGCTCTGTAAATAATATTTAAGCGAATGTGCATTAAATAACAGTAATTTGTGGGTAACCTCGATAGGTTAACTATAAATACATGTGAAAGGTGCTACCATTTCTCATCAGTATCAAACTAAATACTTCAAAGTCGTGTTTTATACACGAGAATACTTTTCTATAGTGAAATTAATAATTAAGTACTACAAATATCTCCAATTACCTTTTAGTTTTCTAACTAATATAATCAGCAATTTATTCAATCTATAGGGGATCTACTATATTTTTCAGCTTATTTACATGTATACTTAAAGAATGACTATACTTGAGCAGATAACTCTGTCACTTTTGCAAGTCCGCAAAAGAGACTAAATTATTATTGTTATTATTATTATTATTATTATTATTATTATTATTATTAT